TGTGTGTGTGTGTGTGTGTGTGTGTGTGTGTGTGTGTGTGTGTGTGTATTATAGTTTGACTAAAAAAAGACTCAAATGTCATCCTGAAACCTGAGGTAAACACAGTTGGTCCACACACTCTCTACTCTCTTCCCAACTTAAAGGAAAATCAGTGAGAAACACGAGGGTCATTAACTTGAATATTACGCCCTGTGGACAATCTCTCAGAATATCAACACAGATTTACATAAAGGGATCACAAACCTATTCAGCTACATGTGCATTTATCCATTTGGCAGATGCTTTTGTCCAAAGCATTGGACCAATAAGAGGACTGGCACATCCTGTTTTTCTAGACCAGCTCTGTTCCTTCAGAAGAAGCTAAAACTGTAGGGACATTGAATCTAAGCTGACTTTGTACAATATGCCATAAAGCATGATAAAAAGCGTGAATATCTCTTTTGCAGGAGAATCTGATCTCGTAATTATGTCATACTAAGTCATAACATAGAAATGTGATGGTGCAGAAGGTTTTTTTTGTCTTTGGTGATTGCACTTTCGTAAAAGTACTCAAGATTGTGTGATGCTGATTCTTGTTTTTCTTAAATTAAATTACAATATTCAACCTTCAGAACATCTGTGCCAGAAATACCGAAAAAAAAGTGAAATTTCACCCTGGAATAAATAATGCAACGGTGACAATTTTCCGTTTAAAATACTTTACAGGGCATCTCTGAAGACACATTCAGTTGCTTTTATATTCCTGGGGTGACTGGCAAAAATCTCAACAGACAGATTATCAAAATACTTTTTTAGGATAATTACCTAAGGGAATAATATAGTAGGCCTAGTGTAGACCCGTTTTCAGTGAGCCTGCGGCAGATTTAAAAAAAAAAATTAACTAGAATATGGCTTGAGCATATTTTTTATAAATTGCTGCAGTACATTGCACATCTTAATTTAAAACTCTAGATGTCTACTCAGTGAAGTTTTATGGTTCTGTTTGCCTGTTCTGTTTGTTACATCTCAATATTAGACTTACAGATTTTATATCTTACATATACATTTGCATCAAAATCTTTTAAGTGGGCCATTAACATAAACCAATATTTGGCAATTTCTTTCTGTTTTAAGTTGACTTATTTACATATTTACACATAACATCATACTGAATTGAATACAAATTTAAGAGCGGCAGAGACAGAAATGCTTTTGGTAATATACAGTATATGGGCACCGCCGATAAACAACTAATGTCAAATGTTAAGGAAACCCTTGAGCCAGTGTTTCATTAAAAATTACAACAGAATATTAGCAAAAAACAACAATAGAATAACAATATCATCATATATGAACAATAGAATAACCATTTTTAAGTGTAAAAGAAATAATACTGACAGCATTGCTAAATAGAACACAATATCAATAAGAGTAAGGTAGATAAATAAAGTGGAAAAAACAGTGCCAAATGGAAACTAAAATATAAAAGTAATATTGAGAGAGATAATGTCAATGAAATTTAAAAAGTATTATAAAGTTATATTGCACATATGGGATGGTTGACATGATGCAGAGTGAAAGTATAATGGTGTGTCTTTGCTTATGACATTAGCTGATAAACCTAACTTAAAGTTACTTGGATCCTGTTTGCGAGCAGTCGGGTTATCTCGGCCTCTACCTGCTGGATAAGTTCGGTACCACATTCACCACACGGCGCCATATTAGATAGACAGTATACTGCTGCTGACGAAGTCAAGGAAGGGGGAACAGTCCTCCAGTGACAAGGGTACTCAGGCCGCAGTAGGCAATTCGCAAATCACTCGAGCTAGCTGCTATATGGTGGACAGCGAGTAATTGAGTCCAACATCTCGGGCAGCGTAGTCCGAGGCGCGTTGTTTTCGTTGTCGTTGAGCTAAGTTGCCGGCAGACATGACTTCCTTGGTCCAGCGGAGTTCGGGCCTCGTGCAGAGGCGGACCGAAGCCTCGCGCAGCGCAGCCGACAAAGACCGTCCGCCGGGCGAGGAGGACGAAGAGCCCCGGCGGGGAGACGAGCAGGACGGTGACGATACCGGAGACTCGAAAGAAACACGCCTCACCTTGATGGAAGAGGTGCTGTTGTTAGGACTGAAGGACCGAGAGGTAATAGCGGATGCATTCTGGTCTCCTGCGTTCTAAAACAATAGGTAAATGTTGGCTTTAGACGACGGGGACGTTACCCAAGCTAACGTTAGCTGTGTTTCCCCAACACACATAGGTTTAATTGACGTTAGCATTCTTGTTGGCTATCACGCTAGCACTAGCTAACAACAATAATGGGCCTCGGGGCTGCAGCCCTGGCACGTGAATGTATGTTTGTACAACCACGGTTCCGTCGAGAAACGATATGAAACATTTAATACAGCGGCGGACCGTGAATAGGATATTGTCTTGTGACAGCGACTCTTTCTGGAGACGGTTGTTCCCACTGGTACGCTAGTGATTTAGCTTAACAGGATACACGATTAACAGTGAGCACTGATCTTCAAACAGCTGGGTTAATCCTCTGTTTGTATACTTTTACAGGAATGTCGCAAGGTGGAACTATTAATCTGCTGACTGCTGCTATAGGGTCAGTCTGTAATGTGACCTTATTACTGATTTAAACGGTAAACTACACAGGGTTACAGTGCCAATGAGCACATCCTATTATAGAGGGGTGAATCATCACTAGTGCACTCAGTTATTTACTTTTATTATCATTTGAATGGAGATGATCTGTGTCTAACCAAGGGGAGGCATGTGATAAGTGATAGTTATAGTGTGTACACATGTGTGTCTGGATGTTTCAACAGGTGGGTAATTGATTTCCTTTCCAAACCTATACAAAAACTACATCATGGAGAGAAAATAAGCATTGAAAACAAATCTGTGACAGGTTAACTGCAAGTTGCCAGTTAGTTTTTTTTTTTTTTTTTTTTAGATCAATGTTAGTCTTCCAACCAATGCCGAGAGTGAGAACCTGACGCTGCACATCTTAACAATGTACACCTCGGTATACTCAACCAGCATTTCTGCATTCTACACCACGACGTCTCCACCCTTCTTCAACTACAAACTGGTCTAGACCAGTGAAAGCTTTAGTTAGAGCTCCTTGTATTTGAAGTTTAATTTACTGCTTGCACAGCAACGCTGCATTGCTTTGCTGTCTGCCTGTACAAGGCTGAGTGCATCAGACTGTACTTTACAGATTTGTGAAACTGTTGCTAACTTTTTTTTCTTTAACTCAAGCCAGACATAGCCTCACTGGTACTGAGGCACTGCTTCCAGATTTGAGTACAAAGCACTATTAATTATGTCTCAGTAACTGTTGTCATTTCTAACCTATTAGCAGTTTGTAAGCAGTATCGGAGAGGAAGCCTTCCAAGCCCTTTGCTAATAGCCATGACTTGCCTTCTAACCTGTAGTAGTCTGTTTCCATTTAATATTCGGTCTGTAGTCGGACACCTTAAGGGAACACACACACACACACACACACACACACACACACACACAAAGGTGATGTCAACATGTTATGCTAGCTGTTTTTATTTTGTTATTCAACCTTTGTTTTAGCAGGATTTTCCCTTTGAGATTCAAAATCTCTTTTACAAGGGAGTCCTGTAAGACGGCAGCATAAAAAAAAATTGAAAAAAAAAGTTAAAGCAAACAACACAAGAAATGTCAGATAACATTCCAGTGAGTACAGATTCGGTGCCATACTTCTTACGCCATGAAGTGCTTCATCTGAGGCTCCAGCCATACATCTGTTATCTGGCGGTATCTCCCTGTCTGGGTCCAGTGAGCCCTGTTGTCAGTGCATTCTGGCCCGTTGTTATTTGCATGGTAATCTTCTGACAGACCAGGATCCTGACGCGTGTTTCCATGATGTAGGGCTACACCTCGTTCTGGAACGACTGCATTTCTTCGGGGTTGCGGGGTTGCATGCTGATCGAGCTGGCCCTGCGAGGACGTCTTCAGCTGGAGGCTTGTGGCATGAGGAGGAAAGGTCTGCTGGCGAGGAAGGTAGGACACACGTCTCTGCTTACGCTTTCACTACATGAAGGGTTTCTGCTGGTGCTTTTTATTGTCTTTGGCCTTGCCTTTTCACATCTCTTCTTTTTTAAATTTGATTTATTTCTCTTCATATTTCCACATTTATTTTCTTATTTTTTTACAGATTTATTCTATAATATGGCGCTCCCATGACTTCATGTAATAGGTCTCATGGCATGTTTATTAAGCATTAAGCAGCATCTTATTAAATAGGAATCCTTCTCCCTCTCTCACCAGAGCAGCTAACACTACTGTTTACACCACTCCACTCTCGGAGCCAAAGGAGTACATGCTTACATGTTAGTTTTGATTCAATCATTGGACTGAATATATTTCATATTGTTTTATGATATCCCAGTTCACCCACAGATAGATCCATAAAGCAAAGTACCCACTATACAGCTTGCAAGCACCTGATGGTAAAAGGTGTGTTTCTCAAGCATAACACGTCCCGCCGCCTTTGGTTGTAGCTTCTGCAATGGGAGGATTTTCTTAGTTTGATGTTGTTGTGAATTGAATATCTTTTGGGTTTTGGGCTGTTCGTTGGACAAAACAACACGTTTAAAGATTTCATTCTGGGCTCAGAGGAAACCGTCTTCACGTGTTTTATAGACTGAACATTTAATCAGATAAATCAATCAAATTCAGTGCGTTATTTCAGCCAAATGTCCTCTGGTAACTACACTCCGTAACCGTCTGTCGTCTCTCTGATTCGCAGGTGATTTGTAAGTCAGACGCTCCAACGGGCGATGTGCTGCTGGATGAAGCCCTGAAACACATCAAAGACACCCAGCCACCGGAGACGGTCCAGAGCTGGATTGAACTGCTCAGCGGTGAGTCCAGCTGCTTCGGTTGTGTGCGTGTAAAGGGACAACGTCGACTGACTTTGTGGTGATTCCTAACTTGAGACAACAGTCAAACCCGTTTGTGACAAAATAATGCTTGACTGATGAAGGATTAACAACCTTAAATTTAAAAACGCTACAAAGCTTCTGATCAGTTTCCCAAACAGAAGTGCGCGTCATCCATTCGCCAAAAAATGCATTTCTTCCAGAGATCTCCAAATGTCAAAAGTTTAAGATAGAAAATCACTGCAGTTTTTTTGTTATGGTATTCCTCAAGGTCTTGGTGTCTTGTTTTGGAAGGCTTTTGACCATTTTTATCAATTCTCGAGCAGTTGATACTTATCAGGCATAATTGAGCATGGGGAATGTTCTAAGTTCTCTTATACGTTGTTTTCAAAAATGTATCAGGCGCCCGACCAAAACACAATAGGCCTCATGCAAGAACCCCCTTGAGCTCCATCTCAAATGAATCCTCAGGTTCCCAGCTTTCAGATGATGTACACCACTTCTATGTGACATACACTGCCATCTCCCCCCTAAAGATCTCGTCTTCTGTTTTATTCTCCTGGTCTCTAGGAGAAACCTGGAACCCCCTGAAGCTTCATTACCAGCTGCGGAACGTGCGCGAGCGACTGGCCAAAAACCTGGTGGAGAAAGGCGTCCTCACCACCGAGAAGCAGAACTTCCTGCTCTTCGACATGACCACGCACCCGCTGACCAACAACAACATCAAGCAGCGGCTCATCAAGCGGGTCCAGGAGTCCGTGCTGGACAAGTGGGTGAACGACGCGCAGCGGATGGACAAGCGGCTGCTCGCGCTCATCTTCCTGGCCCACTCCTCCGACGTGCTGGAGAACGCCTTCGCCCCGCTGCTGGACGACCAGTACGACCTGGCCATGAAGAGAGTGCGGCAGCTGCTGGAGCTGGAGCCAGAGGGCGAGAGCGTGAAGGCCAACGCCAACGAGCTGCTGTGGGCCGTCGTGGCCGCCTTCACCAAATGAGGCTGCCGGCAAAGAGCAGTTGCGGCATTCTAAGTGGCATTGTACTTTGGGGTGGGAATCTCAGCACGGACCCCCGACATGGTGACGGGACTGAACTACAGTTAACCCCTGCCTGGACTTTTGGAACGGGCCGCCCTCTTTTCTCACCCCTCTCCCTCCGTCATTTTCTTTTTCCTCCCTGATGAATCATGTGGGCGATTCATATCCTCTTTTATTTTCTATCGGGTACATTCTGGACATGTTGCCAGTATATCTCGGGGTGGACACGGACAGAATTTCCGGTTCACCTGACCTGCATGTCTCTAGACTGCCTCCTGGGTTGGAAGTGAACCTTCTCGGTATGAGGCGCCCCCTGCGTTCCATCTCCTCCGGCCTGAAAGTTGTGTGGAAGATCACTCGTTTGTCGCTGGGACGATAAGACTGCACATGAATGGGACCATGGGGGGAACGTGGACTGGTGACTTGTGTGACCTATGAGTTAGTTAGACCTTAGCTCCATCTAATATTTCTGGGGAAAACAAAAAAAAAAAGGAAAGCCAAAATATGGAGAGCACTCGTTGAGGGCATTTGGGTAAAAAAATAGTATACAAATTCTGCAAACATCGAATTGATGGGGTTGATAGAAAAACCATGGAAGGAAAAATAAAAACCACCAGATATTAACGAACCTCTCTGTCATAAATACGTGTGATCCATATCCTCTGGCCAGTGGTTTCTTTATTCACAATGAAACATTGATATCGCTGGAGGACTTGGATCGTGTCTCATCAGAAAGATAAAGCAGGCTACATTCAGGTTTCCAGTGTTTGTCTGAATGGTAACAGCGTCATCTGCTTGATAAAACCAGTGTGTGAATTATGGGATTCCGCATCAGCTAACACAGCTTTTAGATTGTGTTCGCTGATACTGACCAGAGGTGATGAATAAAAATTGAAATATTTGAGTGGCAGAAACACACTCGGGAAAGCAGACCCAATTGATTCCGAGTGAATATAACTACAAACCAAGTAATCCACAGCTGTTAATGCAGAACGGCTTGCATCTTCTCCTCAGCTGGGGGGGGGGGTTTGCGTGTCTGCTGCCTGGACAAAACGCCAACTATCCAGTACAGGTGGAGGTCCAGGACGTGTTGAGTCACTACTAAACAGATCACACGTATACTCCCAGCACAGCTCCCTCAAACATGAAAGTTAAGTCATTTACAAGAATGACCTATCCGTACTTAAACAGACAAACGGACATGTTTTAGGGAACATGGAAGCTGTTAAGGCCGACACACCCAATCCTCGAGTCAAATGGTTGACCAGCGAGAACTCAGTTTATGATATATAAATCACAGAGTTGTAGTATTTCTCTTAAAGGGATAGTTCAGGTTTGTTGAAGTGGGACTGGATGAGCTACCATAGATGGAGTTTGGAGAACCAGCACGGGCAGCAAAGCGATTGGCTGCTGTGAACGTATTTTTAGACACCAGAAAAAAAATCTATAGTGTATTTAGAATATTTTCACCGCTTTACCTTACAAATCCTTCGCATTTGATTGGAGTGCTAAAAAGTGGGCGGGCCTGGACTGCATTGCGATACGGAGCTGCAGAGGATCTCACGCTATTATTGGTTGAGAGTGGTCGATGCTAGCTCACATAAGAGTACGTATTTTGTTTAATTTTTTTTCACAGGACGAAAAAGTGATAGATATATATTTTTTGTAAATTATTTTGCATGTATTGTTTAATAGGTCCACAATATGACCGAGGATGTGATCTAAAAGGGCATTTTATCTCAAAATAGTTTCTGTTCAGTTCCCCATCGACAATATAGTGAACATTTAAACTGGGGGAATGTTTTTATTTTCTTTGCTGTCCCCGTCCACAGCGGAACATCGCCCCGCCTCCACCTTAACACGCCGAACTGTCCCTTTAATGGAGCTAGCAGTCTGTGTGACGTCTTGGATGCAGAGCTGAAATAAGACCGCGATAAGTAAGATGCGCAGACAGACGGTACTAAACTTCAAAACGATCTGATGGACTATCCAACCAAAGTCTAATCCGAAGAATCAAAAAGATGGGCTCACATTCCAGATGTTGATGTATATACTTTGTGTTTGTATCAGGCACAAATTCTAAGGACATTTTGACGGCTTTCCAAAAATCTTCTCATGGTTCAGCTGGTTGGACTAAACATTCATCAAAGCCTTTTCACCACGAACCATACCTTGCTCTTAATTTCATATTGCCTCTTATTTTATGACTCTTATTTTCACATCTGTTGTAACTGTTCTGTTTGCTACTCCGCCTGATGGATCTTGTGAAGGACGTTGCTTTGTGACGTATGTAGCAAAACGGCTGGGAGTGATCAGGAAGAGAAGAGGTGACCGAGAGGTTTATGCATCAGAAGATACCACCTCAAAATTTGGAGAGAATATATATATGTTATCTTAAATAAAGGGACCTCTAGTCTGTGTACTTTCTTTGACCCTAGAAAATAAAAAACCAAGAGCTTGGAAGTGCCTAATTATACAACGGATTTTAAGTTTTATTTGAAGCTCGTGAACACGTTTTTGAGGACTGAATTTTTAAATAGCTCTCTCTCTCTCTCTCTCTCTCTCTCTCTCTCTCTCTCTCTCTCTC